CCTTCCTTATAGTAAACAAATCAGCATACTTACCAATGAACAGCTGTACGTACCTACAACGGGATTCTTCTGGTAAAACTCCATAGAGAACATTGCCCTGAATTTCTTGTCCCCCAGTTAATGATTCCGGGCTTCCGTACAACAAAGAAAACGCTCCCTATCCATTCAATATTTCTCGATCTTTCGTTTTACTTTCCCCTAAGTACGCGGCCAGAATTCCTAGTGACCTCGAGTACTTTACCTGGTCCTCAATAATTGACATGAGAGGTGAAATCACTATGACCAATGGATTACTAGGGAATTCATAACCTTTAGCATCTAGCGATTTTTAAACCCCCAAGCTTATAGGCAACATTTGGAAGGTTAGACTCTTCTATCAATTGCCCAAGACAAGACAAGACAAGCCCTCTTCAAGCGCTTGCTGGAGGTCTCTCTCGAACCTAAAGTTAACACTACTATCAACTTCGGCAGAATTCGTAAGGTCAACTGCTGTAAGCTTTTAAGCTTAAAAGTTTCGAAAGGAGTTTGGAGCGAAAACAAGAAGAAGGCACTGCAGCTAACCGGCATTTCCCACGATCAATCGACGTAGTTGCGTAGCCCGTGCAACGGAAATTTTCACGCTGTAGAAAGTTTCAGAAGTCGTGAAACGAACATGGACGTCTAAAATGTCAGCTTGGCGTTGTATACTAGACAATGTGAGCAAATTGAGGTGTGGAAAGTGAAACCATGCATCGCGTATCGTATCAGCAATAAAGATTTACGATACCTTGGAAAGATCGTCCTTAAAAATTCATCGGAGAGTGTTTGTTTCTTGTAGCCGTGCATAACACAATAGGCACTTTTGTTATTCAATGATATGCAAAAAAGTGGCCGGGTATTCTGAAGTTTAGCTGCCGTGCTAAAGGTTGTAATTTTTGCGGGTTGTTAACATTTTGTTCTGAAACTTTCCTCGAGAAACTTTCCCCCTTGAACGCGCTGCGCAACTATGGCGATCGATGAAGAAAACTACGTCGTGTAACAAAACACAAGAGTCACCCGGCAGCTTCTCTTCGCTGATTGGCCAGAAAAAAATTTTTCTGGCCAATCAGAAGCAGGCAATTCAAACGCTTCTGGAACTGGTTCGGTAAGAGTAAGTGCCCAGGGGCTCGTCTCGATCTTACAGAAAACTTTCACCACGAACATTTTATCGACCCGACTAACTGCCCCTGGGTCTCCGAGGACGGTTGATATATTGTAAGGCAGTAAAATAAGGGCTACAATTCGCCAATATTTTGGCAGAAATTTTTTGTTTACAAGTATGAGCTCTTATTATTCAGGGTATCGTGTCCAAGTTTCATATTTTCGTGCACAACAATAGCTAACATTTTTGCATATTTCAACTGCATTGTTAGTTACTACTGTTCACGTGAAAATGAAACTTGGAGACAATGCCTTGAATAATTATAGGCTTTCACTTGTAATGACGAAACTTCCGATTAAAAAAAGTAACAAATTGTAGCCCTTATGTCACTTACAACATATCAATAATCTTGAAACTAAAAGGTCATATAAAAGGAAAGTTAATCTCAAGAATCGTAAATTTAAAAAAAAATCCATCGAGCGGTTTAAAAATTATTCGCTAATTTGTTAAAGTAGACCAAGATGTTTACAAAACCGCCAACAAGAGCGCTTCGATACATACTAATCAAACCCTTCTTTCTAGCAATCGGCTGGAGCTATCTCCCATGATCTTTCACACACGCTTTTAAAAAGATTGAAACTACTATGAGGTGAAATTGCATGTCGAAAGCGCCTCATTTTCTACAGATAACGGCCAAACAACAATCAAAGCGCTTGAATAAATACGGTACTCTCTGGGACCGAGATTTAGTGTCCGTTGTCCGTATTAGAGAGAGTCGGTATTATAGAGGTTTTTATTAAAAGAAAATATATGAGAATTTTGTCGGGACATTAGAAACTGCCCGTGTAACTCGGAGAGGTGTCCGTATCGAAAGGTTCGACTGTATTGGATACTGGAATTCAAAAATCTCCTCATGTGCAGAACATTCGGGAGCGTGATTGAAGTTTTCTTCCCGATTTGTAGCTTCGCTCGAGGCAAAGTTTCGCTTGAAACCATGAGTTACCTTTCAGTCTTTGACGTTCGTCACGGTTTTAGATCTACGTTAAAGTTATCTCAGATCCTCGCTCGACTAAACGGACCTCAGTTACAAGTAGATTTGTGTGAGACGTATATATGGTTTCTTTAACCAAACACCGCGTTTTCCTTGCGCCCCTTTTGACAGCAAAAGGCAGTCGCTACATATACCTCGTTGAGGCCAAATCGGCATTTTCTTAATTGGCTATCGGAAGGACCAAATTGAGAGGAAGTGCCGAAGTAGCTTTTAGTGCATGTAACCAATTCAGAAATCAGGTAGGCCTATCTCGGTACCCTCTAGAACTATCTTGGTTCTTTCTGTCCAAAATGGCCAAGCATGTTCCAAATTGGCCCTCGAGACATTGGGGCCGATTTGACCTTTGCCGTCGATTTAGCTCTTTTCATTTTACAGTACATGCCAACCCTGGATTGTACAGGTACAAAGCATGGAGCTTCCTCAATTTGTTTTAAAACACAGCCTTTCTGTATATTGTTAAGCCCTCTACTTTTTGAACTATAGGTACATGTAACGTGGTTGTCTAGACTGTTGCATTGTTGGATATTACAGACTTTTGTTCATTAACTCCTGTACAGATTTTTGTAACTAAGCTGAATTTTTCTCCGGTGGAACACTTCAGTTTGTTAATTTATCCATTTCACCAAAATAAAAATGTAGAATTTCAGCCATCCTCACTCATTGCTGGCAGTGGTTGCTTATGGCTAATTTGTATTTTTTGTATTAAAATTTCTGCATTGTCACTCATCAGTACAGTGGAATATATAGCTAATATATATTCATTTTACCAGGTGCAGAATTTCTGCATTGTCACTCAGTGCAGTTGTATTAGTTAATTTTTCTTTGTTTTTTTTTACCCGATGCAGAATTCCTGCATCCTTTCTGATCAGTGCATTTATCACTTATCACATTAACTGTTATATCGAGATGGTTAAATAAAGGTATTTTCTACTGAATTAGTTTTGATGTTGTTGGGAAAATAAGATTTACAATGACTGCAGGTTAGACTCAGAGGAATAACCGCGTGGGTGACGGAAAATAAGAAGTTTAGAGAAACACATTTTAGTTTGAAACGCGTTTTTTCTGTCGCGATCATTTTTTCAAAAACACTTCGCATAAGTCCTCGGTATAACCAACGACCATCTCCTGAACGATCGCCCCAGTAACAACGAAATGTATGAAGAAGAACCTCGATATATATAAAATACTTCATGGAATTCCGAAAGTGCATATATTATTTTTGAGCCGGGAATTATCTATTTTTATAACAGAAAAAAAAGAGGACACGCCGATGGCAAAGCATGTAGCCTGCGAATACCGCCGCTTCTCCTCAGCTGCTCCCCGCGGCGAGGAGCAACGAGAAACGGTTGTATTCGCAAGCTACAACGCATGATAACCAGTCAAACTGATTGACGAAGCAAAAGGCATCTTTCAGGCAATTTGAAATTAGAGCTAGAAAGTTCCACCTCGTGCTTTTCTAAGATGGCACTCTTTAATAGGCGGACCTCTAGTACCGATGTCCGGACGAATTTAACTGGCTTAAACACAGAAGAGGGCAAAGACGCAGCCTACGTTTCTATTTTCTGCCGGGTGGCAAATGCTTTTCAGATAGACAAACACTACACCTGGAAGGATCCGGAGTTCTAGTTGTTTGCCCACTTCAACGAAACACGGGGCGCTGTGAAATGAAACTTTTTTTAATTTATGGCCATTGCCTAAGGATAAAATCGAATCATCCAACCCTATATTTCCAAGGGAAATATAGGACAACCATTACCCTCTCCTACTTTCCGTCTCGAAAAAGTTCTTTAAAGCGTTGAACAGATTGTCGCATTGGCTCTTGACTGTAGTTATATAATGGAGGTATCGGATGGAAGACACATTCATGTCTACCTGTGTCTAACCGTTAATCTTACCTATATCTTCCCTGGACTGTTGCTGTGAGGATGTTCCGTGATCTCGAAGCATTAATTAAATTACAATGATTAAGGTCCGGTTCAGATATCACATTTCACATGTGCCGAATCTGATGTAAATAAACTAGAACAAGCGATTTTTTCTCATTGGCCGTTAATAGAGAGAAGTGCGACGTCCGTTACCATGGTAGCAAAATTTTTGGATCACAACAATAGGTAGCTTAAACAATGACGACGGCGACGGCAACGAGAACGGCAAAAAAGCAATAAGTTTAGAACAATAACTTTGCACGTGCATTACGCTTTTTTGTACATTTCTTAGCCGTCGTTGTCGTTGCACGACTACGACGTAAAAAATTTCCTAATTTCAGGCGCCCTCTTTATAAAGTGGGTGAACACAACTTTTTCTAAACTTAAATACGGTCCTTTCGGATTTAACCCCTGCAAATTTAGCCAACATTTGACAAACTAATTAAAACTGAATCGGCTCCTGAACTGAATAAGATCGATGAAGTCAAAAAGTGCGAATTCACTTTTTTGGTGACGTTTTTCAGTTTGTTGTCATCCAGAAAATTTTGCTACCATGGCAACGTGACGTAACGACTTCTCCTCGTCAGTAAAATGCCGGCGACAATTGAACGTGACTCATTTAAATTTGTTTTTAAAACTGCCAATCTGAAATTTGTTTTCAGGGAATTCTGTTTTGGGGAAAGCAGATTTCCTAGTCATTTCTCCCTGTGAGAACTGTTATTACGCAAAGAAATGGTACAAAAGTACGTTGCATATGGGTGCAATAACACGAAAGACGAGAAAAAAGATGTTTCTATCCATCAGATACCATTTTTTAAACTATCCAAGATCAGAAGCGTTATCTAGATACCAAGACGCGGTTAACACTACATGAACCTCTGTCACTCGGTTAGTTAATTTTCATCTATGGTGCAGAACAGCCGTAAAGCTCCACTCGCATAGATATATGGTTATGCCATGTCAACACAACAAATCGCACGTATCTTGCCCGGAACCTTGGAGTTAGAACGTGTGACACGATGGTGTTACGATCAGAATTTGCCGTGAAAACCTGCAAAGGAAATAAATGTGTACAGTTAATTACTTTGAAATACATTCATTCAATAACAACGTTAACAGAGAAGCATTCTTTCTTAAAGTCAGACTTAACCGTAAATTGCATTACGTCGATTCTCAATAGAGAAACCTGTTAGGAAGGGCCAAAGCAATATTTCAATTTGCGCGACTTTAGAAAAAAAAAAAGGGAACTGGAGCCGAAATTAAATGTTAAGTACCGCAAATGTTTCTGGGATGGTTACAAGTGACGCGCCAGCCAGCTATTGGCCTATCTTTCCCTTGTCTCTAGTAACAGTCCCACAAGTCTTTGCGAAAGTTTACTCGACCCAGTTCCCTTTTCGTTTTAAATTGGCGAATGGCAAATAAACAACCTAGCTAACAAAATAGTTCACTAATTTAAATAAATAAATAAATAAATGCAGCTGGATGTTTGAAAACGTTACTTTTAAAACAGACGCTTCTGGCGAGCAAAAGCGGAAGGCCTTAATCAAACACAAAGCGTGAGAACTAGCATTGTGATTGGTTCATTCTTGCGTTTCTGCATCCAAATCCGACAATGTGATAGTTTCACTTGATCGTAAGCGACGGAGATACATGGCAAGTGAGTTGGAAGAAAACGGAAAAGTTCAGATTCTTCTCACTACCGATTCCGCCGCGCATTGATAACTCCGATTACCAGTCTGGTCCGAAGTTTTATTTTCAACAGGTTTTAAACGATGTTACGACTCCGCCTACTACTCCGACTCCTACTATACGCCGCTAGCTAAGTAAAAACTAGCCTTAAGAAAATAAATCCATACCTTCACAACATCATTTTCCTTGTATTCCTCCCATTTGACATGTACACTGTCTGAACTAAACAAAATTTTGTATGAGGTTACCCATTGAGGAGGGGACCAGGAAGGCCTCCCCTGTGTGGCAAGTTTTGTCACCAGCCTCTCCTCCCCGAGGTCAATTTGTAACCACTGGCCAGCTACATTCAAATCCGCCGACCAGGATCCCATGTGGCCATTTCTAACATTATTTAGACGAGCTAGCCAAGGTTCGTGTCCAGCGGTCCGCCATACTGTTGAAGCTGTGATGGCTGAGTTTGGCAATACATTATTTTCCATTCCAAGTGCACGAGTGCTACATTCTGTGTTAAAGAAGAAAAAATACGTTTAAAAGACTTGGAAGTACAGTTGCCTCCGTTAAAGTACAGTTTAGAATTTGAACAAGCCTACAGTCGTAATGAACAGCCTTGTGGTCAAAAAAGGTGCGACTGACCAAGCTGGACTGTGAACAATATAAAATAATGGCAGACAGCGAAACATGATAGTAATCGAATCAAGGTATTTACCATAAGGCCATATTCTGTGTGGCAACTCAATGAAGAGAGAATATATGTTTACTAGCACCACTAATTATCCGAGCGGTGGAACAGAACGAAACAAAACAGAACAGAGAAATTTTATCATCCACGGTGAGAGCGCCTGATGGCATATGACTCTTAAATAGTGGTCGTTCTGCTTCTAACTCAAAGTAACTTGGGGCCAGAACGGAAGACTTGACTTGGGGCCAAAATACGAGAGGGTACGGGTAAAACCTCCCGCTGTTGGGTCTGCTTCCTCTCCCGCCTTCCCTTGTGCTCCCACGTCATTTTCCTCCCCCACAACTTAGGCCTCTAGAATAATGAAGGTCTGGCTCGCCGCATGTTCGGGCCGTCCCGCTTTCGGGTTCACTTGAAGAGAAAGAGGAAAGAAATTTTGTTGTTAAGCTGAGTAAGATCAACTAGCCACCAAACTCGATCTCACCTTCGCACTTTAAAAGAAAGCAAATCAAAGTGCTGCCGCAGTCTGAGTCGTTGTTGCAGGTGAGAGGTCTTAGAATATTCTCCATGTAGTTTGTAAATGGAACTTGTCTCATATCTTCAGGGTGGGAAGCGTGCGTTTTATCATTCAGTTCACACCATCTGCTCTTCCGATAAAAGTTGCTGCTATGGCAACCGAGATGTCTTATGCACCGGGAGATGCAGTGTTCAATCAGCTCTGCAGGCGCGGCATTGATGACGTGGTTTATAAGCACGTGATCTTGTACGGAGTAAGAAGCTGCCTTACATTGACTTGCGGTGGCACTTGCGATAGCCATCTTGGAGAACCAGCAAATGAGCATGTGCAGAAGGATACAGATGAAATTCATTTCTGTGAGATTCATGAAGTTAACGACGTTAAAGGATAGTTTTTGTAGAGAACAGTTTCAATGAAAGTACAAAGTGAAGCCTGGGCACTTTTCAGTTTATTTATCTATGCTATATATTGCATTAAAATGCAGAAAATAGGTGTTTCAAGGTAATTATGGATGGGAGCCTGGAAGGGATTGAATTGAACCTCTATCAAATGGATGAATTCAGCTGTTCGCGCTGTAATTTCTTCGATGATATTTCTTAAATTCTAATAAGCCGAATTTTGTTAGAAAAATTCAGGTCGTTATTTGGAAGGTTATTATACCCAGTTGTTAAAATTCTGAATTTTAGTAACGTTGAAAAGATGAGAAAAATTCTGCTGAAAATGGTTCAAGTGAGAAGAAAAACTTGTAAACTGTTAAAATGTCGGGATGAGGCAAAACTGGAAACATTATTTGCTAAACCAATCACCATGAGAGTCTTTTGCTAAAATTGGGAACGGATGACTGAGTCCTGAGCAAACGAAGTTTGTTGAGAAAATGGCCATATCACAGCTGAAAACACCTTCTAGAGGAAGCAATTAAGTTTTTTAAATAAACTTAACTAAACTAGGCCGCGCAACAATAATTATTTTACAAACACAAAATAAAACTAATTGTTCGAGCCTAGGTGAACAGACAACGATAAAAAATTAAAAACAAGAGGGCGAAAGATGAATATTCCTCATAGGACCACCCAAAAGAAAGGTACTTTAATTAAAGAAATAAATTTAACGCTGTTACAACTGAAGAGGGTATTTATGTGGCATAAGTCTTTTCTCAGTCTTATTGCCAGGGCACAAATGTTTCAGCCTATTATTTCGATAGTTTTTTACGTTCCGCTGTAATCTGTAAGGAATACTAGGAATCTCAAAAAGTCGAGGTTTACGGTGGCCGGTCTGAACAGCATGATCAATGCGTGTTGGTGCCTACAGTGCATCACTTTTTAAAATTATACATGTCCATATTTCGATGCACTTTTACAAAGGAGATAACAATGAGAAATTAATGAAAACTTATGGTCATTGCCTAAGAAGAAAAATAAAATCGTAAAAACGATCACCCCCTATTTATTTTTCTAGGAGATAAAAATTTAAGATACATATCAGCCCACCATTCTAACTCAGTGATATATGCTGTTGGTTTTGAAAGCGAAACAAAATCACCTTATTTCATTGAATAATCGGCTATCTTGGATTTAGTGGCTTTGGTTAGTCTATAGGTTAGTTGAACGTAACGGATCGAAGGGACATTCCTTACCCTGCAGTTTTCCCTGGATTGTTGATGTTAAAAGGAACAATCCCGAAACAAAATTACCAAGGTTTACTTTCCTGAAACGCAATTAATAAAATTTGATTGTAAAACAATCCAAATCTGAAAAATTTATTTTTGATCAATTATTAATAACTTACATGGTCATTTGCAATTTTAATATCGCAAATCGTCAGGGTAAAACTGCCCAGCTTTAAAGTGGCTCGATGGGGTTTTTCCGGGTCCGTACCTCCCAAGTAACTACGTCGCTATTGATAAGGATTTGGAAAAATTACCACCATGCAGTGGAGAGCTGTATTAAATAAAGGTGAAAATTTGTTACGATCAGGGTGGCATCGGAGTTGTCATAGCAATGAAATGAGGCCATTTTCCATTTTACTTGCAGCTGTATTTCTCGGCACTGCGAACTCTCCTTCCAAAATCGTTCACGAGAGCTTTTTCCTTCAATAGTCAGCTCCATCTTTTTACATGTTTTAAAAACGTGTGTGTAAGATCACGGGGGAAGCTGTGTCGATTGCCAGAAAGAAAGATTTGATTATTATGTATCGAGACGCACTTGTTAGCGGTTTTGTAAACATTTTGGTCAGTACTTAAACAAATAAGCGAATAATTTGAAAACCGCTCGATAGATCACTTGTAAACACGAAATTTCCGACAAAAAATAGCGAATTGTAGCGCTTATTTTACCGCCTTATAAGATATCAATAATCTTGAAACTCAAAACTAACGCTTTAATATATAGATTTCGCTTAAACTTCACT